CGTAAACAACATGAAAGCATGGATCCCTCTTGCCTTGTATCAAATGTTCAGGCTGGTGGTGGTGTAATGGTGTGGGGGATATTTTCTTGTCATTAGCAAAGTGTACCTAATAAAGTCGCTGGTGAGTGTAATTATGTTCTGTGATGGACCAGCTCATCCACCCTCTTTTCACCTTCCTATAAAACCTTTTATGTAGCAGCCAGGGGGGAGCAAAGGTGAATACTACAGAGTGACCATTTTCAGCCAGGGTTCTGTTGAACACAGCAGCTCCTCCAGAGCTTGATAGGTGTCCCTTGAGCTGTAGCTGATTGACCTTTTATTTGATGGTGCCTACGTAGTTTCAGGGCCAAAATCACTTGGCAGAACCATCTGCATGACACCAGTGATCTTTTTTAGCGATCTGTAAGGGTGGCATTCTAAACCACTGTAAGGTGGGCATTCTTCCCACTGGCCACCAATGTAAGGGGCATTTTACCACTGACCCACCAATGAATTGGTTTTAGCAAGGATTCCTCAAAACCTAAAATATATTTCAAGTGTTCCTCTGGGGTAAAAAATTTTGAGAAAGGGTGCCATTGAGTATCACTAGAGTGACAACTCTGAGCGGTCTCAGATATTTTAAAAAGGAAGCTTTAACGGGCAAAAAAACATGAATAAAATCCATTATGACACATATAAACCTATTGGAAGATTTTTGTTGAAATGAATGGTCTGGCACCAGGATCTCTTTGTAGTGGAACTCTGGACATATGACTAAATACAAATTTGAAATACATACTGTATCACGTTGCAACTCCACATATCCCTTTCAAAAAACAGCTTTTGAGCAAACCTGCTTACATTCTCCCGGCTCCCTGGGTATCATTTTGGTGATCTATTCTTCTTTGAATGCTGTTGGTGCTCACAAACCTGTTTCATATACACCCCATTGGGAGCAAGACTTGACAATCACTATTGACCCCAACTATTGGAGTAACGTCTGGTCCTCTACAGCAAAATGCTCTTTCAATGCTACTACTCTGGAAGCAGCTTACAAGGTTCTCCTGCGTTAGTACTGGGTCCTGTCCCGCATAGCAAACGCAAACCAGTTTTAGAGTGATAGATGCTTCAGAGGCTGTGACCAGCATTGGGATGTTATTCATATATGGTGGTTGTGTCCTCGCTTGGTGGTATTCTGGTCCAGAGTTTTTGGCCTTCTATACACATTGTTTCAGGTACCAATTCAAACAAAACTTGCCCTATAACATTGCCCTCTTCCATGTCTATTTTCATACCAACAGAAATTGGCAACCTACCTTTTTTTGGTTGCTAAACAAGCCATAGCTAAGGCCTGGAAGAAACTCTCTGTCTCGTATGCAGCGGTAAAGGACAATGTGACCACCTTATTGGTCAATGAGAAGATGTCCAATATTCTACATGTCTTCCATTACAAGTCCCCGCAGAGGGGGGTAGACACAAAGGAGGACAGATACAGTACAGGAGATCTGGTCACCAAATAAGGAACGCCAAACAAAAAGTGGGGGAAGGGGGAGAGAAAAAGGAGGAAGGGGATGTGGGGAAGAGGAGGGGGTGGAAAGGAAGGAGGGAGAGGGGTCAGGAAAGGGTTGGGTGCAAAGCAGGGAAGGCATAAGACCACCAGGGTTCCCAAATTTACCTTAATACAGAGAATGCATTAAGATGAAAAAAACCTTTAGACTTCAGAATCATTTAAATATTTCCACATGTATTGTTTTTGCTCCAGAGCTTAGTAAACGAGGTGAAGCTTCAATTTGAAAAGAATAACCAAACACATGAATAATACCCAAAAAAAACATTTTTGCTTGCACATGTTTGGCTGATGGAAGTCAGCATAGCTTCTGCTCATTTACTAAGCTTTGGAGCAACTGCTCTTGCAGGGTTCAACTGCACTTTGCAAAGTGCAGTCTATTTGCCTTAAAGCAGAGTTCCAGTTGAATAAACAAGAAAAAAAAACTGAAGCTGCTGCCTATTAAAACACAGATACTTACCTGTCCCTCAGTCCAGCGGTGTCCTCACCACCGCTGGTTTCACCAGCCCTCTTCTCTCCCTGGAGCCAACAACTTCAGTGTGGTTACCCGGCTGTGACAGTCTGCGGCTTCACAGCCGGGTGCCCACTGTGCATGTGCGAGAAGCGCTGCGCTTTGTGAATGGCCCCGTAGTCGTCTGGAACCTGTCATGTGTCCCAGAAGACTACGGGGAGAGAGGGGGGAGGACAACTTCCACTTCCAATCACCTTTAGAGAGGTGGGAGTGGGTACCTATCAAATTCGGGTACCCGCTCCCCCCCTGCTCCCCAAAGGTGCCAATCCTTAACAGGATAACTTTGTAACAAGCAAACAAAATTCTGCTTTAACTTCTGTGATGAAAGATCAATATTGTATAAACCTTTGCTTACATTGTAAGGCTAAGGCCCCATTCACACAAGCATTCCGACTGTCAGTTTTTCAGGCGGACCTAATTGGAAGGTCCATTCATCCCTATGGACAGGCAGGTGTAAACAGACTTGTGTCCATTTACATACGCCTACCTATGGGTCTAACCCAATCCATAGGAAAAAAAAAAGGAAGATAGCTCTGTCCTCGTCCATTTAGGTGGAGCAGAGGGTAATTAGGTGTCCGTTTACTTCCAGCCCCCCATAGATCAGAGTGGCTCCCCCACAAGCATCAGATGATGTGTCATCCGCCCAGCCTGCTCCAATCAGCCTAGGATCTCTGAGTGAATCACCTGCTGATTTCAGTGGGAATCCACCCCATGTGGAAGGGACCAAACTATAACAGACAATAAAGTACAATATGACAAAAAATACATTTTTAATTGTATTTTAGCAGTGCTGCTGCATCGCATGCTAGTCTAGAAGTGCATTGGGTTGCCATTCAAAATGAACAGGACTACAATGCACCACAGTTTATGCATTTGTGTGCTTTGAGATAACCTGCAATAAGATGGGCCCTAAGATCGGAGTAGTTTTCTAGGGCCAATGACTCAGAAAGGGCCCTAGAAAATTAAGAACGCATGGACATGATGTTGAACTACCTGGAGGAAAGTTTAAAACTAATCTTAGAAAGTATTATTTTACTGAAAGAGTAGTTGATGCTTGGAATGAACTTCCAGAAGAGGCAGTGAACCAGTCAACAGTAAACAGCTTCAAACATCCTTGGGACAAGCATAGATCTATACTCAGACAAAAAAAGTTAGTGAAAAAAACCCCCAAAAAACAAAAAAAAAAAAACCAAAAAATGGGCAGACTCGATGGACCACTCGGTTCTTTTCTGCCGTCACTTTTCTATGACTGCCAGGCAATTAACATTTTTACAGAAAGTGCTCAGCAATGGCTACCTTCTTTATCCTATCACAGGCTTTCCTTATAGAGACTATACTCATTTAAATTTGAGGCCCCTTGATCACACCGTCATGGCACGTCCTCCAGGACTTCTCCTGAGCTTCTCCCATCCTATGGAATTCTCTACCCCAATCTGTCCAGCTGTCTCCTAATCTATCCACCTTTAGACGATCCCTGGAAACCTTTCTCTTTAAAGAAGTCTATCCTGCTTCTACCTAGTAAACTGACATTTATTTCCTCCATCAGCTCACCCCCCCCCACAGCTATTACCTTTTGTATCACTGAACCCTTCTTCTTAGATTGTAAGCTCTAATGAGCCGGGCCCTCTGTTTCCTCTTGTACCAAATTGTATTGTAACTGTACTGTCTACCTTCATTTTGTAAAGTGCTGCGCAATCTGCTGGCTCTATATCAATCCTGTATAATAATAACATAACTGGGAACGGCTATGCAGGTTCTCTGCCAAGGGCCCAGCGCCATTCCTAACCACACAGATGCCAGTGAAATTGCATTTCCATATGTGCCATCATCCCATTTGCTCCCACACAGCAGAAGCCTCAGGTTGTTTTTCCTGTACGGCAATATTTGTTTCAGCAAGCAAAGTTTCAGATTTTGGTAGAAGCCCAGGCCTTGACTGAGGATCATGATTCAGCCTTGATTTATTATTATTATTTATTATTTTTTTTTTTCTTTGGAAATTAAACCATGCTGTGAAAACACCACAGAATCTGAAGACGTATAACATACACTACACATCAGATCGATCTAACGCAGCCAACCGCACATTAGAGGGTAGAAGATGCAGTCTCGGAGATAGATAGCGGAGCCGAGCCATTGTGCTTCAATGTGTCTTCCTGTGGTTAACAAAGTGAAGACAACCCTTCTACTTCTCTGCCTGAGCAGACTGTCATTCAAAAAGTTTGTTGCTCTAAACTTTCCCGTCTCTACGATTTTATTCTGGCAGCCAAGCAGCCTACACGTCCCGTAAATAGCAGACAGCAGGAAGACACGACGCAACCTTCTACTAGAACTATTACTGTATGAAAATATACACCCAGGAAACTGTCAAATCAGGAATTCTCTTTTTGAATTTTTTTCCTAATGGTATTTTGAAGGCAGAGCTACCAACTGTCACTGATTTGTAGGACAGTTCATGCAATATAGATAAAAACAATGTAGCGCTACTCACATTATAAACAAGTGCATATACATATAAATATATGTACGAAGTGTATCAATTAGTGAAAAAATGCCAAATCAACTAATAACCAAGTGATTTCATGCAAAAAATTCCAACCAATTATATGTGAAAACAATAATACACTCGTGATGGTGATGATAATTAGAAACTACTAATGCTGGTTAGATACAACCTTCAGAAATAATTATAATGACCTAAATAGTGTAGAAAGCATATATATCTCTCTGTACATATCCATTCAGTGTAAATAATATATAAAATCACGCGTGCATATAGTGAACATACTATAGTGAAACCACAATACAAAGGCAACTCTATCAGTGCTCTTAACCACTTCCTGACCGGCCGTTGCATATAAAAACGGCCGGACGGTGGCAGTGCAGGGTCAGGTGGCCGTTTATAAACGGCCTCCCCGCACCCTGCTTGTGCGCGCTCCCTGGGAGCGCGCAGCACCGCGATCTGGTGCCCGCTGTGTCCTCCGGACACAGTGAAACACCGATCATGTGATCACTGATTGGCCAATCAGTGATCACATGCAAAGTAGTAAGCAAGATGTCACTTGTGACATCATTGCTTACTACGTGTGAAATCTGTGAATGATCACAGAGGTCACATGGTACAAGGCTATTCACAACTGTGACCAATCACAGCTCACTCAGTACTTCTCAATGAGTGCAAGAATGCAGAGAGAGAGAAAGAGAAATGATTGCTTTTACATCCTATATGGGTGTAAAAGCAATCAGTGTAAAAAAAAAAAAAAAAAAAAATCTTCATCACCCCCCACTAGTACAGTGTCACCATGGTGACACTGTACTGCTAGGGTGATAGTATGTAAAAAATAAATAAATAAAAAATAATAATATAAAAAAATAAAATAAAAATGTAAAAAAAAATGTTTAAAAATTATAATTTTAGGTTATAAACTAATTTGAATTTTTTTTTACTAAAAAGATAACAGAATAAATTTTGGCAAAGATTTATGATGAAATATTATTTATTTGCAAAATTTTATAAAAAAAAAAACACTTTTTAAAAAAATTTTTGGACTTTTTCATTAACATAGCAAAAAAAATAAAAATCCCAGCGGTGAATAAATACCACCAAAATAAAGCTTTATCTGTCTCAAAAAAATGGTAAAAAATTCATTTGGGTACAGTGTTGCATGACCGCGCAATTGTCATTCAAAGTGTGATAGCGCTGAAAGCTGAAAATTGTGCTGTACAGGAAGGGGGTGAAAGTGTCCGCTCTGGAAGTGGTTAAAGTCCAATATATGCCGATGGTAAATATTTAAATGAAACACACTCGTGCTGATATTTGTGTGCAAGTGGATATGGAAGCTGACAGAAGACAATCCGACCACCGTCTGGATAAGCCTCTCACCTTATAACTTCGACCCTTGCGGGTCAAAGCGCTTTACTGGATCCTTCTCACGGATCCTCCAAGCCTGCTGTCATTCCAAATGATCGCTCCTCGTCACACTCAAATCCCTCAAGGGGTCAGCACTCCACTAATGGCTCCTCTCCGGGTAAGATCAAGTGTAGCACCAATCTCTCATATGGGACATAAAATAGATCCTCCCATAGTGTAGTAGATTTATTGAAAAATAGGGACAATAACAGTAAATAATGCACTCACATAGCAGCAGTTTAAGGTTCCAACCCCATGCTTTCAGATGAGGGAAAAGATGTATGGGTGTACAACGGGTGTACAGGTGTACCAAGATGGCCACTATGCCAGAAGTGCGTCACTACATCAGGCCGACGCCTTGTGTCACAATACCATGTGACTTCCTCAGTTCATGCAATATTTATTTATTATAGGTACTTATATAGCGCCGTCAACTTACGCATCACTTTACATATATATTATACATTCACATCAGTCCCTACCCTCAAGGGGTGTACAATCTAAGGTCCCTAACTCACATTCATACATACACATACTAGGGCCAATTTAGACAGGAGCCAATTCACCTAGCAGCATGTCTTTGGAGTGTGGGAGGAAACCGGAGTTTCCGGAGGAAGCCCACGCAGGTAAACTCCAGGCAGGTACTGCCATGGTTGGGATTCGAACCAACGATCCTAGTACTGCCAGGCAGAAGTGCTAACCATTTAGCCAGTGTGCTGCCCAATAAAATACAGGTACTTGCCTGCTCACAATCCTCTGCAGAATGACCATGGAGCTGCACATGCATAGATCTGCTTACATTTCCAGCACAGTTCAAGTGTGCCTGGCATGAAGGACTCCCAGGCATGCGCAGCAGCCAATCACGATTGCCAAAGACCATCCATTGGAAGAATCTAGGGAGAAGATGCCAGCACCAGCAAGGGACCTCACAGGCACTTAGGTATTTTTTGCCTTTAGTTCCACATTAATCCTGGATTCACATATATGCAGTGCGGTATATCGCATGTGATTCACACAGGAGCCGCACCGCATTCATGTGCAAATCACATGTGATTTGTGTGCGGTGCGATTGGAGCCATACATTTTGTATGGCTCTAATCGCACCACACCCGCAGCAAAAAGCTGCAGGACCCTTTTTCTGGTCCGCACTAAAATTGGATCGCATGGGTATTCACACCTATGCGATCCGATTCTGCACATCGCACCGTGTTTTGTGGACCGCTTTCGGGGTGCTGTGCAAATCACATGCGATTTGTGTGCAGTGCGATTGGAGCCATACATTTTGGATGGCTCTAATCGCACAGCACCCGCACCAAAAAGGTGCAGGAGTCTTTTTTTGGTCAGCACTAGAATCGGATCGCATGGGTATTCACACCTATGCGATCTAATTCTGCACGTCGAACCGTGTTTTGCGAACCGCTTTCGGGGTGTTGTTAACATACACACCCACAGCGGTTCGCATGAACGGGGTGCGATTCTGAAAACCGCATCAGTGTGAACCAGGGTTAAGGCTCTGTTCACATCTATGCAGCCTGCATTTTGTCTGTTTTGCAGAGCTTTTTGCAGTTTTGTTTTGTGTTTTTCTACACGAGTATTGGATGCGTTTTTGACTGCGTTTTGTGTTTTGTTCAGCTTTTTTTTTTTTTTTTTTTAAAGTGGAATTTTTTTTTTGCTGGGCAGAAACGCATCAAAAACGCACAACCATGCATTTCAGCAGATTCTCCATTGAGCTCTCTTGTATCAAAAATGCTTCTTTTTGCTTTTAAAAAAGTCTGTGACCCTTTCCAAAAAGCAGATCAAAAAGCATAGATGTGAACATGTTACATAGGAAACCATGTTAAATGGACTGTAGTGTGTTTCTGTAAAAAGAACTAAAAAACGCACTGGTGGTGTGAACAGAGCTGTAAACCCCATTCACATCTAGTGCTTTGTGACCTCAGGCAGAATCGCTGTGATTCTGCCCCGCAATCCAAATTCACACTGCAATAATGACAAAACGCACTTTCGGTGCTGTTCATTTTCAATGGCACCTAAATCCAGTGCAGTTTTGCAGCGATATATATTGCAGCAAATCGCAATGTATGAAGGTTGTCACTCAAAAGAAGCTCCTGCTTCTTTTGAGCAACAAGATTTGTGCGCTTGCTGCAAAAAAAATCATGGCAAAAATGCGCCGTGTTAGGTGTCATTGGAAACAAGTGTGATGCAGCGATTCTGCCTGAGATCACAAAACACCTAAAGTAACACTAAACTTTGGGTGAAAAAAATTCTATTCATGTATGTAGGAGCCCCCTTCTATTGTTCCCAACCTCCTCCAGATCTCTAAATTCCCTTTTTTAGCTGCTGTGTGATCTGACTTCATGTTAGAGGGTGGCTACGTTCATTCTCCATGATCCCACTGTATGTAGGAATGTAGCCACCCTCTCTTGCTCAGTCCTAAGATGGACCATGTCCTATGGGACTTGCAGTGTATATAGAGCAGACTGGACCTAATGTGCAGTGATGTATTCAGATATTGTGCTACCCTAGGCAACACAAACATTTTGCCCCCCCCCCCCCCAATGAGAGAGCGAGAGAATTCAATACGTGTGTGTATGTATATATGATTCTCTCTCTCTCCTCCCTCTCTCCCTCTTTCTTCATATTAGCACAACAGCAGTGCGTAGAGAACTTCATGGAATAGGTTTCCATGGCCGAGCAGCTGCATCCAAGCCTTACATCACCAAGTACAATCAAAGCATCAGATGTCGTGGTGTAAAGCACGCCGCCACTGGACCCTAGAGCAATGCAGACGTGTTCTCTGGAGTGACGAATCAAGGTTCTCTGTCTGACAATCCGATGGATGTGTCTGGGTTTGGCGGTTGCCAGGAGAATGGTACTTGCCTGACTGCATTGTGCCAAGTGTAAAGTTTGGTGGAGGGGGATTATTTTTCAAGGGTTGGGCTTGGCCCCCTAATTCCAGTGAAGGGAACTCTTAAGGTGTCAGCATACCAAGACATTTTGGACAATTTCATGCCCCACACTTTGTGGGTAAAGTTTGGGGATGGCCCCTTCCTGTTCCAACATGACTGCACACCAGTGCACAAAGCAAGGTCCATAAAGACATGGATGAAGGAGTTTGAGGTGGAGGAACTTGACTGGCCTGCTGAGAGTCCTGACCTCAACCTGATAGAACACCTTTGGGATGAATTAGAGCACAGACTTCATGCCAGGCCTTCTCGTCTGACATCAGATCCTGACCTCACAAATGTGCTTTTGGAAGAATGGTCAAACATTCCTATAGACACCCTCATAAACCTTGTGGACGGCCTTCCCAGAAGAGTTGAAGCTGTTATTATTTTATTTATTTTATTTCAGGTACTTATATAGTGCTGTCAATTTACACAGCACTTTACATATATATTGTACATTCACATCAGTCCCTAACCCTCAAGGGGTGTACAATCTAAAGTCCCTAATTCACATTCATACATACACATATTAGGGCCAATTTAGACAGGAGCCAATTAACCTACCAGCATGTCTTTGAAGTGTAGGAGGAAACCGGAGTACCCGGAGAAAACCCAAGCAAGCACAGGGAGAACATGCAAACTCCATGCAGGAGGCGCCATGGTCAGGAATTGAACCCATGACCCATTTACTGCAAGGCAGACGTGCTAACCACTAAGCCACTGTGTCGCCCATAGCTGAAAGGGCGGGCCAACTCAATATTGAACCCTATGGACTAAGACTGGGGGGCCATTAAAGTTCATGTGCGTGTAAAGGCAGGCGGCCCAATACTTTTGCCAATATTATGTATACATTCACACCAGTCCCTGCCCTCAGGGAGCTTACAATCTAAGGTCCCTAACATTCACACATACACATACTAGACAGGAGCCAATTAACCTTCCAGCATGTCTTTGGAGTGTGGGAGGAAACCAGAGGAACCGGAGGAAACCCACACAGGCACAGCATGCAAACTCCAGCCAGCTTTAACCAACGATCTTAGTGCTGTTAGGCAGAAGTGCTAGCCACTTAGCCACTGTGCTACCACATTACATATTTTCTGGCGTACTGATCCATACGGTCATGTGAAAGGACGTCTTTACCCGCATGGGAAGCACAGGTGTTCTGTGCAGTTGCATGCAGGCAGTCTGTTCAAATCAATTACAGAA